TTTTTTTTTTTTTTTTTTTTTCACAAATGTATAAAACATTAATTAGTTGATAAAAAACTATTTAACATTACTCATATTTAACACTAGTTTGGTGACATTATTAACGCGTTCAATTATAAGTTCAATTAAATGAATAACATAAATTTTAATTGACTCCATCATATAATGTCGTATAAATTGGTGCTCTAGTATTATTCTTCGCTGAATTGGTCTGAGTCGAACTTCTGCAAAGAATATACTTGAGATTTCGTAATAAAAAGATTTTTTTTTTCTAATAAATGCATAAAAATAACGCTTTTGTTTGATCCATATTTTTATCAAAAATTCATTTTTCAAAATTAATTTTCAACTATACATTTTTCAATAAAATAATTTTGCATATAAATAAAAATCTTTTCTTATTTTTTAACCATATATTTGAGCCATATTTTATCAAAAATTTATTTTTTCAAAATTAATTCTCAATTATAAATTTTTCAATAAAATAATTTTACACGTAAATTAAATTTTATTTTTTAATTATATATTTTTAAAAAACACTATTTCAAAATACAAATTTTTGGTCAACATTTGCCATGTTATTTGAGCTCAAGAAGTTTCTCAACGTATATTGACCCAAGTAATCTCCAAAATACCCTTGTCCTCACCGCCTGACCCTCTGTTCTTCACAGGCGGCATGCGGTTGCATCTATTTCAAATTCTCCGAAGAAAATCTGTGCGTTATTCCATCTCTAATCTGTGCATCGGGGCTTGCATCATGAACATCAAAACAGTCGGTAATTATTCTTCATTGACATGCACAAAGTTGACTCTGTTCACCATCTTAGCAGTCCTAATCCAAATCACTGGCCTTTCTCTTTTCATTACGGGATTCTTCCCTGTCAAGCCAACTCTCTCAGGCATCAGGTATTTATTATTAAATACATATCAAAAAATGAAAATGTAGTAAATCTCTGCAACAATTTGATTGTTTTTCCCCCACGTGGGCGTTTGTTTTCTCTATTGTTTAAGTGGGCTGGAGAGTTTTTATCCACCGGGTTCTGATCCAACTGACTTGTCTCAAAATGTTTCAACGTTACCACCTGACAAGCTCAAGTCTTTGTACCAGGTTAGCATTTATTCCATATTTTTTAAGGTATGATGAATTATATGGAAAATAACAACTGAGATTGCGTTATAATTTTGCCTAATTGGATAAAATTGCTAGTTTACCAAAGATGTTGGTTGAAGTTTTCTGCTGTATTAGAGAGAATGTACTTTAAAAGTAAAGATTTCTTGAATTTGAATATTATGTATCTTAATTTTGGTGAATGCAGGAAGTTTCTGGAGTCCCTCCTGTATTCGATCGATTAGTTCTAATGGTATTTTTTAGTATTTGCTAGTCATTTTCTTCAAATTGTAGATTCTAAGCATTACACGACTTGTTTCGTCAGAATCGGTGTATAGACCATTTATTGTTATTATTCTTTAAATTTAGGTTATTGATGGTCTTCCAGCAGAATTTGTGCTTGGAAGAGATGGTATGCCTCCAAGTAAGGAGTTTGTGGAAGCTATGCCATATACTCAGTCATTACTGGCTAAGGGATTGGCAACTGGCTACCATGCTAAGGCAGCACCTCCAACTGTTACTATGCCCCGCCTAAAGGTAACTCAATCGTTTTTCTCCTGAAACTCACAGCACGAGGAATGAAGCACAGCCAACCCAGTTTTTTTCCCTAACTCTAAGATATTAGCGTTTTATATAAGCAGGCCATGCTTTCTGGAGCTGTCGGGGGATTCTTGGACGTTGCTTTTAATTTCAACACACAAGCGTTTTTGGACGATAACCTCATTGGTAATTTCGATAGCCTGTTGGATATCAATTCAGTTACTGTATAACTAATCTAGCTTATTGTCACCCGTTATCTGACTTGCATGTTCAATTTATGCATTACAGGGCAATTTTTTAGATTTGGCTGGAAAATGGTGATGCTCGGTGATGAAACATGGCTTAAATTGTTCCCAAGAATGTTCACAAGATATGATGGAGTTAGCAGTTTCTTCGTAAGTCTTCCTTATTCATGGCACTTCTTAAAAACATTTGTATAGATATACCATTTCTAAATGAATTTCCTAATTGTGCTGTCATTTCTTTGTAAGTGTATTGGATGAAATGGTGTACTAACTTTGTACACAGGCGTACGCATACATACACGTATATCACACCTTTAACTTTCGCCTTTTCTCCTTTTCAATTAAGTTACTGCACTCTCTTAGATTGGCTGCATAGACCACTGAAGTCCAAATTTGGTGCAAAGTTTCAATGGCTCTTAGTAATAACAGGGAAAAATGTGATTATTGAAGTAATATATTTCCTACACCTTCTTGTTCTTTCTTTCCAATTTTATGCATGGTGCATGATGGCATGACTAGGGAAGATGTACTAACTAGGAAATGCTCATGTATATTAATCTAAAATTTGATCACTTCTGCATCAAAATGTACTTGCAGCTCCATATGGAAATCAATTTTTTCCCTTGCAGAAGCTGGACCAATATTTTTGGTGATCAGATCTGGAAATGGATTATACCCATTAAAAGTCAGGGGAATACTTTGTAATTTTAATCTGAAATTTTTCTTTTCTAAAAAATTTACTTGAATAAAAGAAAGAAAAAATAAAATGAGTCGAGCAGGTTTTTCTTCATAAAAAGGAATTGAAGCAGTAAACTTAAATTAATTGTCTAAAAGGTAATGGTTTGTTAGTGTCTTGAAATCAACATAGTTTTATGTTTGTTTGTTCATTTTGTGCTAACATTTGTCGACTAAAATGTAGATTTCTTTTTTTCCCTTCTCCATCTTTTCCTTTATGAGCATGTTGTTTTGGGGGGAGAAGGTCCAAGTGTGGTAATTACCTAATTCTGACAGTCAGATTGGTCTGATCTTGCTAGGTAAAAGATACCATTCAAGTGGATTACAACGTATCTCGACATCTGGCTGACGAGCTTAAAAGTACCGACTGGGATCTTCTGGTAAATGCAAACTTTTCAAGTGTGAGGCATGGTTTCATATCTTATAAATATGGTGATGTTACATATATGCATGAAATAGATTCACTTGCATATGCTAAATCATTTCCATTGTGCTGAAGAAGTCCATCATTTTGTCATCAAAACTTATTGCCCACACCTTCAGTTACTTTTGTACTGATTCTCCATCCTCTCTCTTCTTTTAATCTAGCTCTTGTTGTTTTAAAATATAAACTGTTGAGAACTTGAGGTTAAAATGATGAATAGTTGATCCCAAGTGTCACTCATGTTGTTGGAGTAGAATATATGATTTGCACAGATGTGTGTTTTGATGTAAATGTGGGACTACTTTTTTGCAAGCTGAATCTCTTGTGATCTCTACACAGCCATCTTTTTGGGATCTTCGTGTCTCTTACCCTTTTTGTTTTTTCCTTCCACACAAATGCATTGTATTCTTTGACCTTTGGATTTATATTTCTATCCTTTTATGGTAGTACTTATGTGCCATAAATGATGATTTGGATTCCCTTTTACACAAAAAATATTTTTAATAGCTATATCATTCTAGATTTTGATTTCTGCCTTTTAGCTATGTGCTTTGTTTTCCACTTTGATATAATAGAGAAAGGAGGAAGAGCGGTTTTGTTACCATGACAATGAGTGCTCATTCAGTTTCTAATTTGGATTTAGTCTCTATAATTTGAGTCTATGATTGTAAACTGAGATGATATTTCCTGTCGAATATAGAACACTTTCATAGTTCAGGCAGATTTATTAAACTATGGTCTCAGTAAAAGGGAAGTCAATTATGATTACTGAATACTGGCACAATTATTTCTTCTTGGGGACACACGTCAATTTTCATTGAAACTGAAATATTGCAGATTCTTCATTATCTTGGGTTGGATCACGTTGGACATATTGGTGGACGCAATTGGTAATGATATTTCCTTAGCCATTCATTCTTAAATCAGTTTAGATCTCACGAAACTTAATATTTATTCATTATTCCAGTATCTTGATGACCCCCAAACTTATAGAGATGGATGAAGTGATTAAAATGATTCATTCTAGCGCTATACAAACCCAAGAAGCTGAACAAAGAGGGACACTTTTGGTTCGTGCTGCCTTATTCTCATAACCTGGTATTGCTGGTGCCCAACTAGTATCATTCTGCCTATACAATCTTATCTTACCAGTTACCCTATATTAACTAGTGTTGCCTGGGGCAGTATGTGTAGAATTATTTGCATGATATTAATGTGATATACATTTGTTAAGAATGCACAAGTACTGAAAGTGGAGTAACTTATACACACGTATTTGCATTATTCTGCATGTCCTAGAATGAGTCATATACGTCGAACCACTTGATGTAAACATTTAAGCTCTTAGACGAGGTCAAATTTATATCATTTAAATATATTTTCAACATGCCTCCTCATGTGTAGGCTGAATTCATTTTTCCGATTAAGGCCTAACACGTGGATAATTTTTATTTAAGCAGGTGACGATGAGACTTTGATTTCACGTTGAACCGCTAGATCAAGTGGTTCAATGTGGTATCACTGTAGATAAATGTATTGAGTTTAAGTCTCGTCATCGGATGTTTGAATAAAATTATCCACGTATTAGGCTTTGATGGGAAAATGAATCCCGCCTACACCTGGGGGCGTGTTGAAGATATATTTAAATGATTTTAAATATTTCTTCAACATCATATATTGTATTATGAAAGAGTCCTGTGTTGTCAGATTGTTGTGTGCAGTGTTTCTTAGTTTGGGCATCTGAGATGTGGAAACATAAAATTATTGGCAAAATTTTTCAGTCTCTTTTTCTTAATTTTTATGGTGCACCAAAGAAGAAATTAGCATTTTTGTTATATTTTGTAAATTTATTATTTATGAAAAAGGCCGAACAGGTATTCTGTATACCTGTCCTTTGGCACATGAGTTCATGCATTTAAAAATGAAGAGTTAAATAGTAATGTAGGTTAGCATCTGCCCGTGCCATGTTATCTACAGAGTTCGAAACTTTTATTCTTCTTTCTTGAACGCTTACCTCTTGGTGAACACATCTCCGCTTGACTTTCCTTCAATAAATTGGTCTACTGAATTCAAACCCCAGATCATCAGATTTCTTGGGGATAATATGACACAATGTCTGGCAATATTTATTGTTAAAGATGTTACCAGCTGAGATTACGGTTTCTGTGCCAATTCAAGGCTTCTGCTATGTCAAGTTTCGTTCATTGTTGAACTTGACTGTGTTGATTGATCTATTTTGATGTGCATTTAACTTCCAGCTGGTTGTAAGTGATCATGGCATGACTGAAAGTGGTAATCATGGTGGTTCTTCATACGAGGAAACAGATTCGCTGGCACTATTTATCAGTCCAGGAACATTTGGTTATACATCAGAAACTAACATCAAAGCTTTCCAGGTATAGGGTGTTCCCTTTAGCTCTTTGCAGAGCTGTTAATACCATGTTACGTTCTTTTGTTTGCATTCATATCTATATCTCTTGTACTCCCACAAAGTTTCACATGCGGGTGGATATCGTTTATAATGTATCTTCCATTGACTTGGTTAGTAATACGTATTTCCCCTTCATCTACTTTTTATATAAGAAAAAGCTGAGTAATGTTTACCAAGTGCAAAGTCTTTTTATCCAGATTGTGGTGGATATTTCATTGAAGACTTGGCAAAATAAGCACTTATTCCTGGCATAGAAAATAAAAAGTACATTGTTTTATATTATGACTAAGTGTTTTTTTAGTAATTATTAGAAATTTCAATTCTGGTAATATATGTTTCTCTTCTGCTTCTTCTTCCACCTATTTCAATCTCTTTTACCTTTGAAATTAGACCTGAAATTCTCAATTTCTTCTTCAAATTTCTCCTTTAAACTAATATATTCTCTCTATTTTTTCTTCAACACAGAATCACTATCACAGATCTACAGCAGAACCAAAAACACTCACTTATCTCCAAGTTCCTAGAACATTCTGCTTTGACTTCCTGACATTTCTTACTACTCTTTTGCTTCATTAGAGTTCACTGCAGACTATAGAGGTATTCTATCCCGAAATAGGAAATTCAGTTTCTCCACAAATCTTGCAACCGATAGCTACTTGGACCTAACTTTTATCTGAATAACCCACCACGAATTAACTCTACTGGTGCTGCATCATTATCATTTCGGTTGGAAGTTCAATCTGGATTCTTACTGGGGTGGGAATGAATTTAGGATCGACCTTTACAATGACCTTGTGTGTTGGAGTGTGCAATTTTTAGCCTTGTTTATCTTAGCATAAGTGCATTCCATAAAATGGTATATTAAGCGGGGAGTGAATACTACTTGGTGGCAATTGGATTGATCCTGTGAATTTGACTAGTTTATTTCATATTTTGTCACTGGCCTCATTTCATGCAGAGATTATGAATTCTAGCATAATAGTATATGTTTGTTTACGCTGATTATCACGAATTTAACCCATTATTGCTATTTGTTTAATGCATATTATATGCATCACTTTCTAGTTGCTCAATAAGTAATTTTTTCTTGTTATTATATATATTACCTAACAGCAGTAGATTTGAGTACCATAGCTATCTACTGATGCCTTCACATTTTTCTTCCTTATTCTGGTTTCTAGGTTGACATTGCAGCAACGCTAGCTCTTCTTTTTGGTGTACCAATTCCAAAAAACAATATTGGCACGCTAATGGCAGATGTCTTCACATCTCTAACAGGTTTTACTTTGTAATATGAATTTGTCCTCTGCAGAAATCGTCCAATAAAGTTTTTGTCAATAATTATATTTATATCTGTTGAGACTTCATAGTGAGTAGGATGTCTGAGCATCTTGTGTTTTATGTTGGAAAGGAAACAACTGGGAAATCTTCCAGTGGTTGTATGTTGTAGTTCTCATTTCTCTGTACCATAATTTCTTTTAGTTTGATTTTGTCTGTTGTGCAGATATTAGTGCTTAGTTCCCATTTTGTGTCTGTATAAAGTATATATGTTCCTAGTTGAATACAAACTCTGTATAGCATACCTTATGGGTCAAGTAGATGTATATAATGAAGATTAAGTTAAAATATTGTATGACAGATTGCCAATCATACCAAAATATTTGTGACAGATTGCCAATCATTCAGTAGTTAGACCTGTCATGAATAAAATATTGTTTGACAGATTGCCAGTCATTCCAAAATATTTGTGACAGATTGCCAATCATTCCGTAGTTAGACCTGTCATGATAATTGAGTTGCTAATGGGAGACAGCATGAGGAAGGGCAGAGGGACAATTTTGAACCATCCTAAAACGTGTAGAAAAAATGGTTCAAAATGTTATTTTATCAGCTGAAGAGATCACTACAGTAATGAGTGCCTCAATGTAAATTGTTGACATATCAACATTTTAAAATATTCGTAAGTTGCTGTATTTTTCTTAAAAGCTCTCTCGAGTGCGACTCTCTCGCATGGAGAGCTATCCCTCAACATCCAAACCTACCACCTTCTCTACCGACGACGGCTCCTATGTCCAGTCTGGCCTCCCACAAACCACCGGCCTCACGCCACAATACCATGGCCAACACAGCCATGGAAGCCACCTGCAGGCGGCGGCCCTAGGTGGAAACCCTAGTGCCGCCGTCCGAAACTGCTTAGCGAGAGGAGGCGCCCCGATCTGTAAGGGCCCTGTTGGTTCCGGCGAGCTGAACAAGGTAGGAGGAGGTCGCTGCAGATCAGTAGTGGACGGGCTGCAGAGTCCGATCCACCATCCTCCTACGGGATTTGGGCAGTACGCGCCTGACCGGACTGCAGGGCAGGTGATTCCGACTCCGGCGAGAGTGGTGCAGCGTCAGGGAGGGGAACCGGCGGCGCGTGACCCCCACGCGCAGGCGGCGCGTGTGCCCCACGCGCCGGCGGCAGAAAAACAGAAACTGTACCAGGACGCACCCAGTTCAGCAGCGATACCTATTCCACAATTAGAAGTGCCGTTTACACAGAAACTGGGAAATAAGTTGGGAGTTGCATACGGTTTGGTTTTCGATCGCCGCTTTCGGGTAGAGGCGAAGGAGTTTGCAATCTCTATAAACAAATTCGGCACTGTTAGGATGACAGAGTGGGGCTCTAAGCTCTCCAACTCTATCTGCATGGGGAGGTTTGGCGCACGTTGGATGGTGAACATGGTGGATAAGATGAAGGCGACTAGTAGTTTGAAGGATTTCGCATCTAGGTTTAACGAGTCCCATAGAGCCTTTTTGGCACAACGATGTGCTAATAGCCGTGGTAGGTTCCTGATGATAGCACAGTATGGGGAGAGGCGTCGAAAGGGGATTGTAATGGTACCGGAGGGGGCGAATGGAGAAGGTTGGGCTTCAATCTCGCGGGTGTTTCAGGCAGTGGTTGACTCATTTGTCGCTGGCGACAAGGCTAAACTTCGAATTGTGGATGATAGATTGCGACGGGGAGTGACGTATGCCGGAGTTGTGACGAACTCACAGGCTTCACAGAATGTCGATCGACGGGTACCGTTGCGAAAGGAGGAGGCGGTTGATGTGAGTATTCCTCAATTGATGAGGCACACGATGGGGGAGGCCAGTGCAGGGGGTACACTTGGAGGGCCTTGCGTATCTGTTGAAATAAGGGCACGTATCCGGGCATTGAAAGGGGAACTTGATGAATTAATCAGGCTGGTGGGTGAGGCTGATGCAGGCCGCGGTTTGATCTGTTGTTCTAGGTGTGGGATGAGGGTGGAGGAGTCTCCAGGCGATGAGCAACTATTAGCAACTTTGGAGTCTAAGGAGCCATCAGTGCAAGTTGTCCAAACTAAAGACAAGCAGGTGTTGATTGAGCCTGATCATGATTCTCCAACTCAGACTGAACATGCGTATTCTGTTAAGGATGATGGAGTGGATGTAACGGGGTCGGATAAGGATGATGAANTAACAAATAGATACTCATATTTAAAAGAGTTCAACAAAAATTAATAACAATTATAAAACTAAATTTATTTTATATAAATGAAGGATTTTAAAGAATTTAATCAACATGTTGACGACGTGTCGTGCCAGCGCTTTTTGAAAATTGTATTTCGAAGGGTCCGTATCGGTGCATCTGTGGTAAGCATAGCTTGTAGAGAGGCAGATTGGAAGATGAATTAATTAGGTCTCTGTTTGATGACCATTATTTGGTCAAAACAATGTTTTGAATAGTAATTTTTAGAAGAATATATGGTTAAAAAGTAGGGAAAAGTTTTGAGTTTACGTGCAAAATATTTTATTATGCGAAAGTTTAGTTGAAAATGAGTATGTAGAAAAAAGAATTTTCAAATAATGGTTGTCAAACAGGGGCTTAATAAAGAGAAAAGGATTGGGAGAGTAGAAAAAAATTGTGCTATAAATGATGTTTAGTGGCTGCCAGCTTCACAAAGCAAAATCTAGTACTTTTTTGGTTATTGGAAAAATGTTTTTAAATGTGTATACTCGACTTGTATTGATTTTCTTTATATCTTGTTCTCTTCTCTTGTATCTATTCCTTACGATCATCTAGTTCTTCAGCCCCTGCAATAAATGAGACTATTAAGTATTAGTGTACTGAATATTGCGAGGAGGGAATGTATTTATGGCAGTAATTATTATTAGTATCGTTGTTCTCCATGTATTGGGAAGAACTATGATGTAGTTTTATCTATTTTCATATTTTGTTAGAATTCTTTTATCAAATCTATCTTAAATATAATGTGCAAAAGTTTATTATAGTACACATAAATTAAAAACTTTGGCATGGTGGAGAGGTTTTGAATGTCCCCATTAATGTCATTTTCCTATAAGCATGTATTCATTTTCCTGTCTCTTTTCTGTACGCCGTTTATTAAGTTTCTCTAGAATTGTGATTGCTTTTTGGTTCCTAGTTTGCACATCTTTGGATTAAGTTCTTGCTTATTTTCCTTATAAAGCAGATGAACAACAATTAAGAATTTTAGAGTTGAATTCTTGGCAATTGCTCAGATTACTTCAAGCACAATTTCCAGAGGTAGAATGCGGAAGATTCTCATGTGAGTCTGGAAGTGGTGGACATGATGGTGCAGAGATGTTTTGTTGCTTATACTTAGATGCTGCTGCACTTTTTGAATCTTGGAAATCTAAAAATTCTTCCAGGTTGTAAATCTTTTATAGCTGTTAAGATATTTAGAGTATTTAGGTCATTCTTGCATTTTGTGTCGCATAGTAAAAATACTGAAAGCAGTATATATCTATCAAAGCCTTGGTATTCTCGACAGTTAAATTACTTGATTGTGAGTAGACTGGATAACACCTTTTTCGATAGTGTGGTAAGTCAGTTTTAAATTCTCTGAGTGCAATTCATTGTTAAGGGGTTATTAATTTTTTAAGCTTTTTAAATTTGGTGAAAGAGTGGCCATGTACTCTCTAAGGGCAAATTAAATATACAAATTGAGGGATGTATGCACATTGGGCAGAATCTACATTTGACAGGAGATATATGGCTAGACGTTGTGTGTTTGTTGGAAGGATTCTTTTCATCTTATGGAGAGGTTGGAAGCAAGTAGATCCAGTAGATCCTTTGTCACGCCCATTTCAGTTTACATAAGTGGTGGATGTGTGAGGTGGAGGAAAGTGCAAAGAAGTGTCTTTGTTAGGTGGATTTGAAGTAGAGAAAGAGTTTGTCAAATTTACAGTTTGTGAACAACTCACTATTTTTCTTGATTGCTTCCTCAGATTTGTTCTGCAACCTTTTAGGAATCTTGTAAATTTTTACTTCCGTTCCCGGTAATTGAGAGGGTTTCGGAAAGGTTAGATGGGTGAAAGCTAATGTTTTCTGTCTAGAGGGGGGAGATTAACCTTATTACGTTGGTACTCAAGCTAGCATCACTAACTATTACAAACCACTTTTCATAATGTCAAGTAAAACGTCTTCTTATCGGGACAAAAAATAAATATAGTCCTTTGATTAGTAAAACGTCTTCTTAAGCAATATACGAAATCCAATTGCTACCAAATCTAAAGGTGGTGCTATGGCACATCTCACATGGGGGTTTTTGTGATTGAAGAACGAGGAACTGGAATGTGATAGTGAACAGCCTATAAATTTGTACTGTGGTAATTGGTCTGCATTTTTACTTTTCCAATCTTTTTCCCTTGGGAGAACATAAAATATTGAGATCGATGGTCATTTTATACGAGAAGGATAGTGCAGAAAGTCATTCATGCCGCATATGCTTTAAAGGAGAAAATCTGGTGGATTTATTTCCCACAAAGCCTTGGGTAGCTTGAGAGTTGAATTATTTATAACAAGCTTGGTGTATATAATACACATGCTCCACCTTGATGTGTTTTGTCCATTCTTGTATACTGGGGAATGTAGATGTGAGGATTCTATAGCTTCCACGCAGAACCTGCTCTCTGATGAAAACATCCTTCACAAATTGTCCGTAAAGAACAATTATCATATGTTGAAACCTTAAATATTTTCTTTGATCTTTGGACAGATCTGTTGATGGAGATGACTACAGGAACATTGTTTTAGCGTATCGAAATTTCCTTAACAGTGCAAGCAAGTGGTTATCAGGTAGAGCAACTGATGTAAGTTTACCTCCTTTGGCATCTAAAAGTTGATTTCTTCTTAGGAAATGAAAGAAAACAATTACATTTCTATTTCTTTACATTGATAGTCAGCAAAAGTATGGTCGTTTGTTTTAGTTATAAACTGTTTTTACTTTTTCCTCCTTTTATTGTATTACAGAAACCTATTGGTCTACTTGCTTCGGGAATAGCAGCCATGCTTCTATCTTGTTCGATGCTAGTGTGCCTTCTTTTTGTCTATGGGCGAGATGCCCCCTTTGAGGGAAGACAACACCTTTCTCATATAGATAACATGCAAAAATGGCATTTGGACGAGATATTTTCTCTGGCTGTAATTTTTATTCTCATCTCAAGTATGGGATCAAGTTCTATGGTAGAGGAAGAGCAATACATATGGCATTTTATGACAATGTCCTTATATTTGTTATTCTTCAGAAAAACACTGCAATTCAGCACTCCAGGGAGATTGCTTCATGCTCAGAATGTAAACCGTAAACAAAAGAGAAGTTGCAGTCGAATTTATTCTATTGTTGCAGTTCTTATATCTGGAAGAATTCTGAAAGGTTGGCATCAAGGGGGTGTCAACTGGGCTCATCTACCTGACATTTCAAAATTGCTTGAGCAGGCAGGCAGTGCTCCTATCAAGTCATTGCAGCTGATATCTGTTCTCCTTGTAATCAGCATAAGTTTAACTGCCATTCTTTGGCCATTTTGGAAATCACGCTTTGTCATGTTATTCACCGTAAGTTTTTTATTTCCGGGGTGGTTGGTTCTGCTATATATCCTGAATTATCAAGATAGCATTGTCACTTCTGCCAGTAGTGATGCTATTGCTACCACATTGGCTCAAAGTATTTATGCACTTCTCAGCATCTTTACAGTGGTAATCCTTTTTGCCATCCCGTGGTTTATGCCCCTCAAGAATTCTAAAACCTTCAGGTTATTTTGCTTATCCAGTGACATTTATCCTCAAACTCAGAGAGAACCTTTGTTCTGGGGTTTCAGAGATTCTATATATGCAATTGGTTGGTGTTGTGTATTTTCTTGGTGTCTTCTACAACTGTTGCTACAACAGCCCATAAATTCAATGCCCGTGTTATTACTTCTTGTTCAATTCCTGGCTAGCATTTGGTATTTTTCTGATGGTGACCCACATACCAGGCAATGGGTTGAGGTCAGTTTAATGGCTAAATATTCTAGCTTTTTTTTTTTGCCGTCATATAGAATTGAAATAAAGAACTTCAAAAAACCCTTGCAGATAGCTATTTGATCAATAGCATTCCATCTATGTCTGATACTTCTATCGCCTGATAATTTTTTGTGTTGGTTGGGGTTGGGATTGGGGTTGTTGCTGAGCATGTATCTACGTATTTGGAGATTTACGTTGCAAGAGAAATTAGAGATACTTGACTATGGCTCATATAACGTTTTTGTTTTCCAGGTTGCTGCACTCTATTATGTGGGAATGGCGGGCCATTTTGGTCTTGGCAACACCAATACTCTTGCTACAATTGATGTTGCAGGGGCTTATATTGTACGTCTTTTTGTTACTTGATCAAGATCTATTTCATTTCATGTGTTTGTATGCTTTACGTACCAATGCATGGGACGTCTGATTTTTAAATCAAGTCTGATGATTTACAGGGTGTCTCAAGCCACTCAACTTTTATATCCGGCATTTTGATGTTCATTATCACCTATGCATCCCCAATGTTAGCTCTTCTCAGCATGTTGATATATGTTTCTGTGAAGGATATGAGCGCAATCGTGGATACCCAGGATGATGTGAACTTCGGACATTTGCTCAAGACGTGTGTTGGCTATCCTTGTCTTGTCCCCCTTGGCTTGAATTCCATTTTCCTTGTTGCATACACCATCATATTGCTACTAATGAGGAACCATTTATTTGTTTGGAGCGTCTTTTCTCCGAAGTAAGCTTTTCTTAATGCAGATTATTTCCTCATGTTGCATGTGTAGTAGTTAATTAGGATCTTGACCATCATCATGAGTTTCTTTAATGGGAAAGGGTGTTCATTACCTAGTTTGCGAAACGTGATTAAGCTTTCAGCATTTCCTCTCCAATGTGCTTTTATTGTTGAGTAAACACATATATAAGAACTCTCATGCTAGCAAAATTAACTGTCTGCCCCCCCCCCCCCCCTCTCTCTTTTTTTTCCAGGTATCTATATGTTTGTGCTACAACGACTTGCATTTATATTGGCACATCATTTGTGGCTTTAGCTATGACATATACTTGCATGGTACTTGTTACTCGGAGGAGCGAATAATATGCCTATAAAGTTAGCTTCGACTTTTTGTTTACGAGTTTGATTGTGCTGTGCTGGGAGAGCGATAAGAACAAGAAGCTCCAATGGGTTCGAGTAAACTCCTTGGCAATTGTATCTGAGAATGTGAGAGATCATAGATCACCTGAAGTGCTGATAGCAACTTTTGTTCTACCGTTCCATATCATCTTTAAGTCACTTACTTCCTCAGTTAATGACGTTAGACTTTTGTACAAGGCAGGCAATGTCATTTCATTAAATTTAGTGGGACCTTCACCTACTGTTGAAAATTGAATTAGTGAGTAACGTTTTGAATGAATGAATTAGTCATATTAAATTTTGCTATTTTGTAACCAATAAAAAAAGGAGTGCCTGTCAATATCCAAATGTGACTTTTATGAATAATGATACAAATAAATAAATATAATTGAAATAAGTAAATCTCAGAAAGTTAAAATTTGAGAGAGAATTGTATCTGTATATACTTTAATGCTTTTGGTAGATTTCGAAAATCTGAAATTTGCACATTCAATCCCTATAACCCTACTTCTAACCTATCACCTGCCCCGACTCCCACTATATAATATTCTATTTACAATCAGATTTTGTCACACACAAAACTCTTGCAAGTTCCAAACCATGCAAACTCGCAGCAGTACTGAACCCAGTCAAGAAACTAGCCGGCTAGTGTATGCTGCCGAATATTTTCTAACTCGCCGGAAGTTCACCGACTGCCGGGAATTTGCTCTTCGTGCACAGGCATCAGATCCGAACCACCCTTCGCCTGCCCTGTTGATAGCCATTGCTTCTGTCCTCTCCGTCGCTTATATCGCCCCGGATATACCTGATTACTACTCCATCCTCGGCCTCCCTCGTTTTACTTCCGACCTTACTCGAATCAGGGACAGCTTTGAAAACCTAGTTCCACTTCTCAACCCGAAGAACAACACGTACCCGTTATCGTTCCAAGCTCATGAGTTGGTGTTGAAAGCCCGGTACGTTCTGTTAAACCTCGATGAGAAAGCTCAGTTTGATAAAGAGTTGACAAAAAACCAGGGTGTTAAATCAGGGACCGATGATGCTACTTTCTGGACCATGTGTCCATACTGCTATCATGTGTTCGAGTATAACATTGTTTACAAAGACTGTTGTTTGAGGTGTCAGAATGTAAGGTGTAGGAAAGGGTTCCACTCTGTGGCTGTTGCGGTGCCGCCGCCGCCAGAAGTGGTGGAGAAGGGCACGTATCTGTGTGAAGGGTTTGTGCCATTAGGGTGTAATGAAGAGACAGAAAGAGAGAAGATGTGGGTTCCATTCGGCTCAACCATGGTACCTGAGAAGGACGAGGGTGTATCCAAGGGTGAACATAATGCAAAACATGATGAAGATGGAGCTATATATATATCTTCTGACGATGAAGGTTTTAAAAATTATGAAATTGTTGAATTTCAGGAAAATGTGAACATTCAAGCTGAAAATGCTATATAGTGGGTATAGGTGGAGAAGTGATGTTTGGTGGTGAAAAGCACAATGGATATGCGGAAAGTAGTAAAAAGAGAAGGGCGTAAGAAGAAAATATGTGGCGAAGAGTTCAAATAAGATGATGGGGAGAGGCATAAAAGTTGACATTAAGGAGACATTGGAGCAATGGTGATGGATGCTTTTAAGATTGGCGTCGATTTTTTTAAAGGAGGACGATGATATATTGTTGGTTTGCAGTTTGACTGTGTTCTAGTAATGGAGAGCCTGAAAATTGTTGTATACTGGGGAATGAAAAGTTCTGATGCAGTTAATATTGTTGTTGGGCTCATTTTTTCCTCAAAGTCTAGTGCTAATACTGCCAGCAAATATGTAGATTGTGGCATTACATTTATCCCTCATAATCGATCTGTATTTTTGCTTTTAAGGGTAGAAATGTGAGAATCATATTTTGTTCTAGTTCTTATTTAATTTGCTGTACTCATCAACTCTTTCTTATTATTTCTGGTTGGCATAATATTGTTTGTCTATGATTCCTTATATTTGAATATCATCAGTATTGACGTAAAATTTGTGGCTTTGTTTTTCTTTTGTTGTTTAGTTGTTTCCATTCTTGACATGAATCCTCTATAGCTCTTTATTTGATGTTTATTAATTACCTTGGAGCATTGCATTAGTTAAATTTTCATATTGCTAACTACTCAGGAGCTGGAATCCGGGATCGACAATAACCGCAAATCATATGCATTTCGCATCCAGTTAGCATGCTGTGATGGAAATTTGAAAATGGATTATCAATCCAAAACTATATCAAACCCTAATTATGTCAAACCCTTTTCACATGCGAGCGCGCACACATATAGCCATTGTTTGACATTCATTTTTTTTCTCATTCTCATTTTTTTCTTATTCTTCATTTCAACTATACATTCTATTAATAAAATAATATTACACACATACTCAAAAATTCTCATTACTTTTTAACCACAAATTCTTCAATTAATCACTATTCCAAATCAAATTCTTCTCCAAAATGAGTGTCAAATAAGGGCATATTCTATGTTGAAATAAATGATAATATTAAAAGCGGAAGCATACTTTGATCAATGTATCTGATTGTTTGAATTATACGGGTTATGATCTTTCAATTGATACGTGGTTCCTTAGAGTTCTACTTTGTTGATGGTAATGTAGAGAGATAAAAAAAACTCGCATTCAATTGAGAACCATGACCCCATGATATAATAACTGTATATGCAGTTATTATCTTTTAGTTCTTTCAAATTGGCCCCTCATCAATTTAAAATAACCGTTCTGGTCTCTACACTTTAATTCCATGACATTTAATACCCTTTAGTTCAAAATCAGCTTTAATGGATCACTTTATTGACTAATCTTTAAAAATAGCACCACACATTTTAATATAGATACACGTGTGACCCCATATGTTGGAATTTTCCAACATGCTGTACAATTATTCCCTGCATGCATGCTTGCTTTTGTGGTAAAAAAATCTTTGCTCTCTTTGCATGGCCAATTTTCCTTTAATAAAAGCTAGAAGGTTTCTAATTAACTGAATACATGCTAGTTGATTAATTAAACCCCATATATGTTCTGCAATTCGGATTACAGTTTGTTCAATTAATGAAGAGTTGCAGTACCTTGGTTGGGGCTGAAAATTTTCTACCAGTTAGTTATTTTCTTCCCCCCTTCACTTTTGGATGTCGTGTATCGCAAATTTGAGCAAGAGGGTTTGCTTATTAAAAACTGAGATGGCAAACATAGGAATAGAAAATGTTCTGAATGCCTTTTGTCTCCTAGATGTGGAGTGGCTGAAAATTGTCTCCATCAACCCCAAATGAGGTAATGTAAGTTATGCCCTGGCCGGGTGATCTAGGCCTGGCAGGGTTTTAATGGCCTACGTCCCGACAAGCCTGGGTCTTCTTGCGTGTTTTGACACATGTATGCATGCCTTCCNGCGTGTTTTGACACATGTATGCATGTCTTCCCCTTTCCCTCTTCGAGATAGTTACCGATGTTATGGTCATTTCCTAATGCTCTTACTTTGCATTAAGATGCAGTATTAGTTAGAGATATTGTTAAAGTATGACCCAAATTTCTATTGGGATTAGAATTGAGTTGATAAATTGATAAAAGAAACAAGAGTCCTCATGGTTTGGAAATCCGGTCGAAAAAGGGATTAAAGTTCATCAATGATTGGAAGTTT